CATGAAATTGGTGATGGAGGATGGTTGGTGATGACGATGGCGACGGATTCCCCTCTTCGGAGCCCCGAACGGACTCCAGATCAGCCCTCCTGAGAGGTTTTAGGGCTTGGCGGCGGCTCCGTATCGTAAGGCGATGATTTCTTCTCTCCTATTTTTTCTCCTCGAAAGCAGATATATAGAGTTGGAGTTGGAGTCGGGAGGTCTCCAGGGGGCCCACGAGGTAGGGGGCGCGCCCCCCACCCTCGTGGACAGGGTGTGGGCCCCCGGTCTTCATCTTTGGCGAGGATTTTTTATTATTTATTGTAAGATATTCTGTAGAGTTTCAGGTCATTCCAAGAACTTTTGTTTTCTGCACATAAAACAACATCATGGCAGTTCTGCTGAAAACAGCGTCAGTCTGGGTTAGTTCCATTTAAATCATACAAGTTAGAGTCCAAAACAAAGGCAAAAGTGTTTGGAAAAGTAGATACGACGGAGATGTATCAGCAAGCCGGCGAATCTGTCAACTTCCTGTGATTCCTAACCTCACCGGTTGGTATCGATGTCTTGGCTAGCCGCCAAGCAAATTTTTTGATTTTGGATGGAATGCTCAAATTCCAGAGTTTGCCCCAAGACTTCTTATCTGCATCAGAATCTGAGTGCCTCGGAACATGCTCCAACCAGTCCGTTCTCTGTTGCTTTGTAGTCGCCAGTAAACGGTATGCAGACTGTACTGAAAAAGTGCCTCTTCTGTCATAGTGCCATGCCCAGAAATCGGCTTGAACTCGTGTACTCAAGGGGATATTTAGTATCGCTTCCTTGTCCATTGCATAAAAGTGCTCATCCAGAACATGAATATTCCAGCCCGCAGTAGTGTTGTCAAGCAACTCTGACACTAGTTGCGGCGGGTTTGGGGTCTTTGGGCACACCAGCCGTAGTTTATGATCTCGCAGTATCCAGTTGTCATGCCATATACTCGTCTCGCTTCCCGTCCCTATCCTTTTGATGATTCCCAATTTAAGGGTGTCACACCCTTCATGTATAGAGCGCCAGACTTGAGATGGATTGCTTCCCAGCTCGGCTTCCAGAACGGTACAAGTAGGGTAATATACTGCCTTCAATATGCGTGCACTTAGCGAATCAGGATCTTGCAGTAGGCGCCAGGCTTGACGGGCAAGCAAGGCTAAGTTAAAAAGATCGATGTCACGAAAGCCCATGCCTCCCATAAATTTTGGTTGTGTCATGACTTCCCATGAGACCCATGCAGTTCTCCTTTCTCCCTTCTTAGATCCCCACCAGAACTTCCGAAGCAAGCCGTTAATATGTTGACACAGAACCCTCGGTAGCTTGAAGCACGCCACTGATTATGTAGGTATCGCTTGCGCCATGGATTTTATAAGAACTTCTTTGCCACCCACCGAAAGGGCCTTTTCCATCCACCCTTGGACATGTTTCCAAATCCTGTCCTTTAGGTACTTGAGGGATCCATGTTTTGTTGTTCCAATATCCGAAGGGAGCCCTAAGTACTTCTCTGATAGTTGTTCATTTTTTACATCCAAGACTTGCATAACTTCTTTCCTCAAGTCCTCAGAACACCCCTTGCTGAAGAAGATTGACGACTTGTCTTTATTAATACGTTGTCCCGACACATCGCAATATCTTTGAAGCAATACATTGACCCGTGATGCCATCTCGGGTGTAGCGTCGAAAAAGAGCAAACTGTCATCAGCAAAAAGGAGGTGATTAACACATGGAGCATCTGGAGCTACCTGAATGCCATGGATACTCTCCCCTGGGACCGAATATTTCAGCAAAGACGAGAGACCTTCTGCCGCCAACAGAAAAAGATAGGGCGAATTGGGGTCACCCTACCGTAAGCCCCGGGTTGGCTTGAATTCCTCTAACTTGCCTGCATTAAACATGACTGAAAAAGATATAGAGGTCACAAACCTCATGATAGTTTCGGTGAACCGAGGACTGAAACCTAATTTCAGCATTACTGCCTTCAAATATGGCCACTCAAGTCTGTCGTAGGCCTTCATCATATCAAGTTTTAAAGCACAAAATCTGTTTCCTTTCAACTTCCTTGTTTTCATATAATGTAGGAACTCATAAGCAGAGATAAAATTGTCATAACTTGAACTAGAGTTGTAGACATTATTGAATTGCACGATGGGCCGGTGTGTATGGGCTCTGATCAACGAAGAGATCACGGATCACTTGGGGGCTAATCATCTAGACTATCCAAAGCAATGTTTTTCTCTCTCTTATGATTGATGGAACTCTTCTTCGCCAAAGGGTTTATCATCAAAATCACTAGTTAAAGAGTATTCATTGCAAAGATCACTCCAACCTCCCCAGGTCGCGACAAGTGGCACACAAGTGATCGACAATGCCGCTGTATGTGCGCCACTTGTCGCAACTTGTGAGTTTTCCCTTTTTTTTTATAGATCCGTTTATTCAAAACGTTTTATCTCTTAAACCGTGCGTCCAAATCTCGAACCGCTTTTCACCGTTGGATTCCTCGTGTCTAGATCTTCAAAACTAATCCCATGTTGATAGGTTTTGACGAACTTTTTTTTTAAAACGGACGAAAAAACCAAACCGGAAGCACAGGTTTTTTCCCTTTCCGAAAGAGGCACGCCAGTGCCTCTCAGGAAATCACAACCGTGCCTCTCGTGGAAGCAAAACCGTTACTCTCGCGGATGGAAAAAAAAAAGAGAAAACCCTTTTTTCGTTTCCGAGGAGGCACGACCGTGATTGTTGCGGAAGCAAAAACGTGACTCCCGCGAAAGAAAAAATAAACATAAAATGTGTTTTTTTTTCGTTTCCGAGAGGCATGGCAGTGACTCTCGTGGAAGCAAAACCGTGACTCTCGCGAAAGAGAAAAACACAGAAAACACGTTTTTTCCGTTTCCGAGAGGCACGACCGTGACTCTCGTGGAAGCAAAACCGTGACTCTCGCGAAAGAGAAAAACACATAAAACACGTTTTTTCCGTTTCCGAGAGGCACGACCGTGACTCTCACGAAAGCACAACCGTGCTTCTCGCGGAAGCAAAACCGTACTCTTGCGAAAGGAAAAAAAAACTAAAAACAACTTTTTTTTTCGTTTCCGAGAGGCATGACCGTGACTCTCGCTAAAGCACAACCGTGCCTCTCGTGGAAGCTAAACCGTGACACTCGCGAAAGAAAAAGAAAAACAAAAAACACATTTTTTTTGTTTCCAAGAGGGACGGTCGTGACTCTCGTGAAAGCAAAACTATGACTCTCGCAAAAGGAAAAAACATGTTTTTCCGTGAATTTTTTTATCGAAAAGCTAAGAAAGACCGGTGAAAAACCAAAACGTCGGAAAAAACCAAAAAAATCCATTCAAGAAGCCGAAAACGCTTGCGGAAAAATTAAAAAAAATTAAAGAGAGCGCCTAGAAAGCGACACGTGACGAATGGCTGAGAGCGCGCCAAATAACGCTGATCGTTGTGAGGCTCCCGAAAAAACGTTCGTTAACTAGTTGCCCTGGTAACCATGGGCCATGTGCGCGTGATTGCCGGAAATGAGGGGAGTGCCAAACCCAATGTCATTGAGGGCCCATGCAATTGTCCGGCCCGGCACACAGTACACAGACTTGCCACGGCCCGTGGCAAATTTACGTGTTTTGACCCTTTTCTGAAACCTATTTGAGATTTGACCTTGGTTTGAATTTTTTTTAAGATCTAACCCTTTTGCTACCGCCAGAGTCCATGGCGGTAGGGTCTAGCAGCCTACCGTCAGGGACTTTGGCGGTAGGAAACATCGCTACCGCCAACCGGGCTGGCGGTAGCCTGCACAACCCTACCGCCAAGGTGCTTGGCGGTAGGCACGAGCACGCACTGTGTTCAATACTTAGGAGGTTTTTGGCTGTAGGGCATGCAACCCTACCGCCAGGGACCTTGGCGGTAGGCTGTTATACCCTATCGTCATGGTCCCTGGCGGTAGCAAAAGGGTCAGATCTTGAAATTTTTTCAAACTAGGTTTAAATCTCGAATAGGTTTCAAAAAAATTCTCGAATTTGGTTTTATTCTTGTAATTCAAAAATGTTCACAAATTTGAATAATGTCCCAGGTTTCCAAAATGTTCACGAATTGGAAAATGTTCTCAAATTTCGAAAAATGATCACATATTTGAAAGAAGTTCACGAAATTAAAAATGGGCCCGCCCATATATCGGGGCGCTTGCGCCAGGAGGGTCGCGTTTGCCTTGTATTCCCCATATTACTTGGGGAATAGGATCCACCCTCGGGAGGAGCCATTGCTCCAACGTTTTTCTAATAGCCGCCATCACTTTGTTTACAGGAGAAATCAAGCCCAAAGAATTTGCCTGCCACATCTCGACATACCACGGTCAGTACACCGGCTAGCGACAGTGCATGCTACAATGCCATCTACACTTATCTTGATGATAATCATCAGACGGCCCTAGCCATTGCCGCCACTGTGGCCTCGAAGCCGTAACTTGAACTAGAGTTGTAGACATTATTGAATTGCACGACGGGACGGTGTGTATGGGCTCTGATCAACGAAGAGATAACGGATCACTTGGGGGCTAATAATCTAGACTATCCAAAACAATTTTTTCTTCTTATGAGTGATGAAACTCTTCTTCACCAAAGGGCTTATCATGGTGGTTTTGGTAACCGTGGGCAGTGCGGCGTGATTGCCGGAAATGAAGGGAGTGCGAAAGCCCAATGTTACTGAAGGCCCATGCACTTGTCTAGCCCGGCACACAGCACACAGACTTGCCCGGCCCGTAGTAGGAACGCACGCAGCAGAGACCTCTACCGAACAGTCTTGAACCTGAACCTACCAGCAGCTCGCTTTGCCGGAGGCCAGAGCTATACAACAAGCCCGCACAACCACCGGTCTTCGCCGTGAGCACGCACGGCAACTTGCGTGCAAAACCACATGCTTCTTCCCGCTCACCACCGTCAACACGTGAACAACCCGAACCGTCATCGCCGCCACCTGGACCCCGGCCGGCGAGATCGATGATGACTCCGACTCCGAGCAGCGTCATCCAGGCCAAGCTGGTGGGTACGTCGCCCAGGCATGCAGTTTTCGTTCCTCTCTCCGATCACCACCGACCACCTTGTATCTCTACCATGGATTCTGCTTGTAATTAACGATCGATCTAGCATGCTGCTTTTCATGGCGAGAGTGATCCGATTTGCGGCGTGCGTGGGCGCGTGCGTGTGCAGGTGCTGCTGGGGGACCTGGGCGCCGGGAAGACGAGCATCGTCGTCCGGTTCGTCAAGGGGCTCTACTACGAGTGCCAGGAGTCCACCATCGGTGCGGCCTTCTTCTCGCAGGCGCTGCCCGTCAGCCGCGGCGGCGAGGACGCCACCGTCAGGTTCGACATCTGGGACACCGCCGGCCAGGAGCGCTACCACAGCCTCGCCCCCATGTACTACCGCGGGGCCGCCGCCGCCGTCGTCGTCTACGACATCACCAGCATGGTGAGACTGAGAGAAATTTCTCTTCCCCTCGGAAACCTCGTTTAGTAGCGACCTTCTCTGAATCCGTGCTGAATGAGTCGATCGCGTCTTGTCTGATGATGGAAACTGAAACTAATTGCTCTGCCCTGCTTGATGTTCGACCGTTAATCTGTTCGATTTTTTCGCTGCGTGGGTGTCAGGATTCGTACATCCGGGCAAAGAGGTGGGTGGACGAGCTTCAGAGACAAGGTATGGTATAACTGAACACGTCTCTGTGCTTCCATCTCGTCGCTGGAACTACTCAAAATGCGTGTCAGTGCTTAGGTTTTTCTGCACATTGATCCAAACAGGGAACCCACATCTGGTGATGGCGTTAGTGGGCAACAAGGTCGATCTGGAAAAAAAGAGGAAGGTTGGCACACAGGTATATAGTACATACTTACGACATATTTGCAGACAAAAAAAAAATTCAGAACCCCGGTGCTTCATCTGTCAGTCAAACACATCACGGTCTCTGTGTTTTCTCTGAATGAATGCGGGCAGGAGGCGCTGGAGTACGCGGAGCGGAACGGCCTCTTCTTCCTGGAGACGTCGGCCAAGACGGCGCAGAACGTCGGCGAGCTCTTCTACGAGCTAGGCAAGAACCGATAAACTCTACCTGCGTCTCTTGCTGTGATCGGCTTCATCTCTTGCTGTGACCGTCGACGGCCTGCTTGCTCCGCTTGTAGTACTCATACGTGTGTTTGTCCGCAGCCGAGAGACTGGTGAAGGTGCGGCCGAACCATCCGGCCGGGATGGTCCTGCACGACGGCCAGCGCGGCGTCGGGGGGCGGTGGTTCTGCTGCTCCGGGTGATCGACGATGCCGCTGCGTGTCGCGCGCCGGCGGCGGTAGGGGAAGGTGTGGTGTGAGTAGGATTCTGCATCGTGCATATGCCGCTCTCTCTGTACGTATAAGGACTCGACTGTACTTGTTGGGCGTGTGTTCTGAACTGGTAATGGTATGGCATCTGGTTTAAGGTGGTGCACGTTTTGGTGGTCCTGGCAGGGGCTAAACTGCACCTTTTTGTGCACAATGCTTTCTCTATTTCAAATGAGACTGGCTAGGGATAAGGCGAGTGAAAATTCAGTATGGGCCAGTCGATTCGTTTAAGCCGTCGGCCGTGGTGATGGCTAGCGGTTCGGCAGATGTATGTGGGGCGGTTGAAGAAGAAAACGAATGTGGGGCGCAGGAGGTTGAAGAAGGAACCTGACCGCTTGTTTTGCATGTCGCCGCCCCACCCTCCCCTCCACCGCCGTCCACCGCCATGCCGACGCTGCCCCCGGCCATCCCTTTAACTTGAACACCTACCACTCTAGAGACGCCGAGGTCGCCTGCTGCTCTAATATAGACCCAGAGGGCATCTCCGGCGGCTGCTCCTTCCTTCCCTCCGGCAGTTGCTTCCTTCACGCGAAATCGACTTACTCAAATATTATGTTCAGGTGACTTACAAATAGCTAAAATTATTTCAAATAGAGTGCATATTTGTTTTAGTGAAAGAAAACACAATTTGCACCTTAACTTCTCAAACCAGACAAATTTCGCTCCCGACCCAATTGACCCCGGTTTCATCCCATGCCCATCCTATTTGTTCATCCTGTCTGGTGACATTTTGTCGAACACCTGACATGCCACACCGAGAACCAAAGCTACTAGTACGCCGGATGGTGGACGAACTCGAATTTATGCTAGGTCATCACAAACATTTGTCACGGTAATATCTTCAAATCAAGGAGTATAACTCAGGTGGAGAGATGAATCGAGATCATCACTTTGAAGAAGGCAACCAGATACACGAACACACAGAATCCGATGAGCACGCCAACCGCAACCTGTCGAACGAGCTCCCTGTCGAAGGCGAACCGCGGCGCCAGCACCCCAAGGGGCCGCCCCAGGGCCTTGGGGACGAAATTCCTGCCCCTGCGGTGCAGCAGCGTGTTGCCGCCGCCGGCGCTGCTCTCCGTAGCCGCGTGTCCGCCGACATCGCCGTCGCTCTCCTCCTCCTCCTCCTGATACCCTTCGTGATCCTCTGAACTCGACGCCTCTTCTTCCTCCACCTCGTCATCCTCGGAGGTCGACGTCTCTTCTTCCTTCTCCTCCTCGTCGCTCCCGCTGACTGCCGCTGGCCCTTCGACCTCGCCGTCGTCCCTGCTGTCATGGTCGAGATCGGAACTCCCCGCCTTTTCGTCGTGGTTCTCTTCCTCCTCCAGCGGAGCCGGCGGAGCAAGAACGTGACCCTCGAACTGGACAATGCCCGGGGGCCTGCAGGGGCCGGTCGCGGAAAAGGAGAACTTCTGGTCCAGCACCACCGGGGGCCGGAGCTCCACGCGGGGCGTCTTCTCCGACAGCGACGCGAGTAGGAGGGGCTGCCCGGTGCCCATCACGACGTAGGCGTCCACAGCGCCTCTGTCGGCGTCAGCCGGGTCCGGGAGGAAGACGGCGGTGACGCAGATGGGCGCGTCGGCCCTCGGGGTAAACCTCTCTTTGTCACCGCTCTCGAGCCGCACGTACCAGTCCCCTACGTTGTCCACGGGAGTCGCCGCCTCTCCCACCTTCTCCGCCGGCGGCGGCAGAGCGACAAGGTATCCGTCAAACCGGACGGCGGCCGGGCCGCCCTGCGGCATCACGAACAAGGAGCACTCCTCCCCCTGGTACACCACCACCGATGTCTCCACGCACGGGTTCGCTGCCGACAGCGACGCGAGCGGGACGCAGTCCGCCCCACACGAACTGTTGATGACGGCGCAGACGTCCGCTACGCCCTGCCCGCCGACGAGGAAGGCGCCGGTGACGCAGAGGCGCTCGTTGGGCCCCGGCGCCACCGTCTGCTCCTTGTCGCCCTCGACCCACAAGGACCAGTACTGCTGCCTCGACCGCTGCTGATCCATGGCCATGCTCTATCGATCGATCGATCGATCCGCAGGGCTAAAACAGGGTATTGATCGTGAACGAGGAGGCCTGGCCACGGTTAATTTGTGCCTTCCTGCTTATATTGACCGGGGGACTCGCCGATTCCCATATCATTCGTATTCGGGGAGGATTCCGACCCGATCGATCTGCGATCAGACGGACATCGTTGACGCCCGTCGATCGTGTGGCGGCGGTTAGGGCCTCGACTAGATCGATCAGATTTGCCTAATTATTCTGAAAACTATACGTTAATCTTTCAATAAGGCTTTCTTTGGTTCATAAGATTGGATAAGAATATCATAGAGATGACCAGTGGCGGTGCCAGGAATCGAATCATGTGTGGTCAATTGAATGTTGTGTAGTCAGATGCATGCATTTATAAGATTTTTTTGGCATGATTTCTACTTGATGTATATAGGTTTTGCAAAATGTTGTGTAGTCAAATGACTACCCAGCCTAAGCGTGGCTTCGCTACTGGAGATGACATGTATCCTAAATTCTATGCGTGTAGAAAAAAAAGATATCATTTGGTTTTATATATGAAATTTTTCATTGAGTCTAGGTTATGTTATTTTTTTAAAATGTGAAGGATAAAAATCAATCCTATGTAAAGATAGAAATGTATTTCTATGAATCAAAAGACTCTAAAGAAAACGTTCCTATAAGATACATGTACTATAGAATTCCTATGAAATTGTGTTAAAAAAGATTTTCTATGAAATTCCTTCAAACCAAAGGAGACGCTCTTCCAACCGTGTACTAGCCAGTGTTTGAAACGGGACAATTTATATTGATGTCTACTAGTGTAGGAAACGTGCTGTGCATTGTCTTCCTGTGCAAAACGCCTTTATATGGAACACGTTTCGTCCAGCGGCTAACGTGAGGATGCTGCGTCCCGTAAAAAAGAATGAGGATGAGGATGCTGCGTCTTGTACATCTGCCACTCTGCGGTACTACTACTTTTTTTTTGAGAACTGCGGTAATACTACTTTGCTGTACATATGTTGTGAACTAGTGATGTCCATGTGAAATTTGGTTTATGGTGGTGTACTTTTTTTTCTTTTTTTGTGAGGATAACTTTTTTTTTGGCATGGATAACTTCCAATCTATTCATCAACGGTCAAGGTAGTACAAAGAACACCAAAAATAAAAAAAATGCATCTACGTCTGTAGACCACCTAGCGACGACTACTAGCACTGAAGTGAGCCGAAGGCGCGCCACCTTCTTCGCCCCTTCCTCATTGGAGTCGGGCAAACATTGTTGTAGTAGACAATCAAAAAATCATCATGCTAAGGCTTCATAGGACCAACACACCAGAACAGCAACCGTCGCCGATGAAAAGAACAGTAGATTGGAAGGATCCAACATGTAGACCCACAAACGCAGGCGAACAAAGACATGATCCACGTGGGTCCACCGAAGACAAACACCGACCGAATCCCGCGAGATCCACCGAAGAAAATCTTCACACGCCCTTCGATAATATAATGCTAGAAACACCACCAGGATGGGGACTAGGCGGGGAGAATCTTATTCCATCTCAAGAGAGCCACCGTCGCCTCGCCTCTCTAAACAGGTAACAAACCCTAAGAAAACTCAAAAGAGCATAAAAACGGAGCCCTCCCGCCGGCAAGGGCCGAGAACCACCACGCCTTCATGGCCCTAAGACCACAGGAGACGAGGTAGACCGATGGCAGAACCGAAGGGAGGAACGAGAAACCCTAGCCAAAGGGTCCTCTTTCTTCCATGGGAAGAAAGAATTGGTGGTGTACTATTTGTGGGTACATTATTCCGGTAGGGGCTAAACTGCAGATTCTACGATACTTTCTCCATTTCAAATAGAGTGGATATGTTAGTTTTTAGGAAAACAATATCTTCTCCCGTCTAATTGAGAAGCGCGGTGGACTCTGATGGAAAGAAATTCTATGAGACCAGGTCTCACGGATTAGCAGGTGAGACCCATTCTGATGGATGACACGTGGCATCCACAAGTCACAAAGCATCCACCCCACCCCCCACCTGAAATCAGGGGGGGAGAGATTAGATGCTTTGTGATTTGTGAATGCCACATGTCATTCATCAGGGCGGGTCTCACCTGATTTATATGAGACCTGGTCTCATATAATTTTTTTCCGACTCTGACCATTGCCACATTTATCTCGGGTTAAAGGCTGCCACATCATCACATAACGTCATTACCCAGTAATCCCTGTAAGTGTAGCAGAGCTGGTTTTTAGGTGTTTTTGTATGTTGGTTTATGGTTTGTGTCCTACTCAGGAAGACGAGGCGATGATAACTATCTGAAGATGGAATAAGGTTCTCTCCGCCCATCCCCTGTTCTGGTGATGCGTCTAGCACAGTCGGACGGTGTGTGGAATTGTGTCTTCGGCTGATCTCGCAAAATTCGGGCGGGACTGCTATTCGGTGGATCTGTTTGGATCCAGACTTTGTTTGCTTGTCTACATGTTCGATCTTTTCGATCTATACTTCTCTTCATTGGCGACGGTTATTATTTTGGTGGTGGTGCTGTGAGGCCTTAGCATAACGAGATCATGATTGTGTACAATAATAAGTTAGGCCCTGCTTCAGTGAGAGAGGGATGACGATGACGGCCACATAACACAAATAGAGGCTGATGTAGACACACGGACATACGTCGATGCGACCCAAAACGAGAAAAGGGCCCGACAAACAGTGACGTGGGTGGCATAGCGACGGGCGGCAATTTGTTTTGCACGAATGTCAACACCCTAGATCCTGTGGACAACAATTTAGATGAGACATCACTAACTCGTCTACAGAATTAGCAAATCTGAACAAAAAATTGCAATTAAACATTTCATGAAATTGCAACTATGCCAGGGAGTCCTTTTTTAGCACTACCGTGCCAGTGAGTCACACTTAT